TATATATATATATATATAGATATATAGATATATCTCAAATTAAAACAAAGCATATTCAAGCCTCTTACTAAATTCATCAATACACGTTTGTTAAAGAGACGATAGATATTTAAAATGGACACAATCAATAATGAGAGTGATAAAAATTAGTTTGTATCACAAACCAATCTATTTAAATGCCTTCCTGAATTTTAGCTTTTCATTGACATATGTATATTTATTTGAAGCATTTAAGTTTCAATTACAATTACAAGATTATAATTTTCTTTGAGGATGAGAAACTATAACATTAATTTACAATATACATTTTACAATATAGTAATGATAGTTGACTGTAGAAATTGTACATATAAAAATTTTGATCCTAGACATATAATGAATGAATTATGTGATGGTGTATGTAAATAATTATATATATAAATATAAAAAATTAAATATTAGCTATATAAATACCTAAAAATAATTTAATATATCAAATATGGATTATTTTTCACTGTCAAAAAACGGGCCGGGAATATAAATGTAATGCCCCTGCACTCATGGTCAGGGAGGCCCGTGAGCATTCTAAAAGGGGGACGGCGAGAACTGAGGCAGATCAACAAGGTACAGAGTAGATATGGCGGGTGGCATGGGAGTAAACAAAAACAAGTTCATAGAGGATTGGAATCACGCTCGGGAGAACCTTGAGTTGACCTTTCGTTGGACTCGCCGCAACCTAGCGATCGCTGGATTATTCGGCTTAGCCGTTCCAATCCTCATTTACAAGGGCATCGTTAATGAATTTGTAAGATCTCTTGGAATCTAGTTTTTTTCTGCTCTGATATTTCCTTATGATGGTCTGAAAGCCCTAATCTCGAATTGCTTCTTTTTTTGTCTTTCACAGCACATGCAAGATGAGGACTGGGGAAGGCCACCGAGGAAGTTCCTGTGAGAAGATTTCATCGGATGATGATTTTCCATTTGCTTCTTTTGGAATAATGGTAATGTTGACTTTGGCGGAAATGTCGTCGTTTAATGGCATGATAAGAAAGATATTGAAACTTGTTGGGTATTGGTAGCTTCTTTTCTCCATTCAAATGTTGCTTTTGACAAGGAACGTGTGAATGAGACTCTTTTAACTGATGATAAAACCATGCTGCTTTAAATCATATTCATATATTCCCAAAAAAAAAAAAAAAATCATATTCATGTTACGTCAGTCATTAGTCTTATTGGTGTAACTTAGTTTTACATCATATGCAGATTGCCAAAATTACAGCATCATTCTTATCAGCAATTATAACATAACATAAATGAGGGGTTAATTGTATGTTTGTCACGTGATTAAGCGGAAGAGCTTAATGTGTATGTGTAATTACAATAAAGGTCAGAATCAGCAGCGATTGTAGGCAAGATTTTGACAAGTTGCTGGTGAAGTCATAGTTTTTTATCCATGTTATTTGCATACGATCCTTCTTTGAGTTAGCAAGGATTCAGGAGCCTGTTATTTAACTATGCTCTAGAAATGCTTAGATATTCTCCGATTACATGTAACTAAGCTAAAGTGGAGTAATCCGAGTGCCAACTTCATAGATCTTTGTTGCGAATTTTAAATTTTCAATATTAGGTGAGTAGCCTTTCCCCATTTGTCCTGAATGCAGGGTCCTTATCATTGTTATCTTTTTGTTGATGTGCTAACACTTTAAACATGTTTTGTAGTGATGATTAGTGCCATTCTTTTGTAAATTTGTATAACCCTCGTGTGTGTACGATGAAACATACCTTTGGGAAGTGTTTAAAGTGAGAGCATGAAAGAAAACATTTGAAAGCATAGAGTTTATGCTTCTTAAATTTAAATGTAGTTCAGTTCTGTTGTATTTTGTATGTTTAAAAGATTTAGCCATCTATTAAATAAAGTTTAAGAAATTTGAAAAACTCTAAATACATTAAAACAAATATTGCCATTAATTATACATTATACATATAAAGAATTAGTTTGATAATTCTATGGCGTTGGGTTATTTTTATACATCACATCCACCATGGGTTTGACACCAAATTATTATCTTACTGAGGGTATGAGATAAATGAGTATTCATGTGAAATGAATTAATTAGATCATTCGTTCAGTAAATTATTACACTGAGATATGATAAACATTTATCTTTTCTATGACTATAAATCATTAAAAATCTTGGAAAGTTGAGTGAATTGGTTTTTTTCTAATCTTGGTTTTGTAATTGTATGTTCTGAAGAAATGAACTAAGAAAAGAAAATAGAATAAGGAGGAAAATTTTATTCAATGGCAATTGGTGAAGTGGGCACCTAAGTTGACAAAGGTATGATAGTTTGATTATTCTTCTGGCATAATGTGGTGTTAGCTTTTGAACATTCCAAGAGAATGAGAAAAGCTTAGAAAAGCTTAAGCGTCAAGCCTAAAGCTCCCAAACTGTTTGGTAGAACATTGCTTTGAAGCATGAAAAAATGAGTTAGGGCTCGTTTATTAGAACAATGGTTGCATTTTCTATATTTCTCGATGTTCAAACTAGTTAAATAGAGCTCTATTTCCTTTACGAGATGTTTCTTGTAAGAACTATGTTATAAAATTCTTTAATGTAGTAGTCTATGCCTGTGGAGTATAAGTTGTTTGTAGATTTAATAGCCCACAATGTTTTATGACGATATAGTTCCTGATGAGAATTACTTCAGAATCATTCAATTCCTTTTCTTAATACATTTTTCACCCCATAGTATCTGTACTTTTTTCTTTGATACATAAAAAAAAAAAGTTTTGCGTGGTTGCATCTGGTTTCAAAACACTTCAGCTTTCTACCTTTGTAAATAATTTTTTTGTTTATGTTTTTTCCATAGGCAGGTGTTTTAAATGTCTTGAAAACATAGCATCATCATACAATTATTAGGTTTCAGAACTGCTATCATAGGATTGTCTATTCCTGTAGAGCATATGAATTTAATGGGCCTAATAACAAAACTTTTGTCATGGTCTAGTACAGTTTGTAACTTTTTTTTGGAGCAATGAATCCTCATAAGAACAATTTTTTTTTCTATGCAATAAAAGAAAATGCTTGGTTGCATCTGATTGTAAAACATTTTTTTCAACTTTCCGTCGTTGAATCTTTCTATTAGGGTACATTTGCTTTATCCTAGTTTCCTGCCTTAGAATGTTGAATAGAAATTATGATCTGGTTGAAGCTTGATACTTTTGCAACTTTTAGCTTCATAATACTTTACCTGAAGAGTAATTTTTTTCAATATCTGTGTGAATTCTCTCTCCTAGTTCATTGCAATGCTGGCCTGGAAAGTTTATGAAGTTTATTAAAACCTATTTATAATAGAGAACATACCAAACAAATTTTACCTTACAGAAATTTAGGGCCTGTTTGGCTAGCGGAACAACTGTGGGGCGTTTTCAAAATGCCAAAATTAGTGTTTGTTTTCTGTCTTCGCTACTTGCTGGATAAGCTGGTTTCCTTTTGTATTAGATGCTGCTCGAGGGTTCGACCCCGCATCCCGCATTTGGAGAAAATTATTTACGGCCCTGCCCTACCCGAGGTCGTGCATCCGATATTATTCACGGTATTATTCGTACGATTGCGCTTTCGGTGTTATTCGCGGTATTATTTGTGCGGTCGTGCATATGATGTTATTCGCAGTGCTATTCAAGGTGGTATTCACAGTATTATTCGTGCTGCCGCACGTCTGTTGATTCCCATTGTTATTCCCGGTATTATTTGTGGTAGTTTTCAGGTGTTATTCGCAGTATTATTCGCGTCTTTTGCCAGTCATTGATTCGCGGTGTTTAGTGATGTTATTTACTATTGTGTTCAGGTGTTATCGCGGTGTTATTCGCAGCATTTTTCGTGTCTTTTGCCAGTCGTTGACTTGCGGTGTTTTGCGGTATTTTTTGCGGCAGTATTCAGGTGATATTGCAGTATTAAATTAGTAAATATTAAATATTGACTTATAAACATACTTAAAATATATAATATTAAGTATTTAATAATGTAGTTTTAGTACATTAATATATAACTAAATTTATTTAATATTGTGTTAATTTATACATAATTGTTTATATTAAAATATATATATATATTTTATAATTAGTGTTTTTTATTTTTACTATGTTAACTTAAACAAAATTAAAATTATACATCGTTAAATATAATTTATAAATAAAGTATTTCAATATAATACTCTAATAGTTACAAATATATAGTTAAAACTATTGTATATTTATTTGAAAATTATTTAATAAACATTAACTAAATTATATAATAGGTTTATGTATTAATTTAGTATAATAAATACATTTAACTAAAATTTATTATAATACTGTTAACTAAATAATATTCAAAATATAGTTAAATTATATCTTAAAATAAATTAAATTTAAGATATATTTATAGTATAAAATACACTTAATTATAATAATACATATATAATATTAATATTTTAATATTTATAATTAATGAAACACATATGTAATATACAATAAAATTTAATAAATATTGTTATTACATTATTAATAATACCAATATTAAATAACTATTTAGTATTAAATGTATAAATAAACATAATAGTTATATTATAATTGTATTTATAATTTTACTAAACTATTGAATTATAAAATAGTTTAAAATTTATATATATAAATATTTTGTCTATTATTAATATTAAGTTTAAAATTGTACTATTATAACAAATATTGATTGCACTAAAAAATGAATAACAAATAATAGCAGATTTATTATTGCTATGACAATTCTGTCGTAAACAACATTGCTTCACAAGGGTAAAATGATAGTTTATCCAGAAATAACTGCAAATCAGCGTTTCCAAACGCATAAACCAATTAGACAGCCAGCTTCTCCAGATCAGCTGCTGATTAACAACTTATCTGAATCAGCTGTTTCTCAGCAGATTATCAATAATCTGCACCTGCCCTAAACAGACCCTTAGGAGGTTGACCATAAAACCTGAAATAAGGCAAAGCTGGCTTTTAACATATGGATACCAAGGAAAAAAAAGCAGGCCTCATGTTATGAAAAGTGCAACCAAATATGTGAATTCCATTCCTCAAAAATATTTTCCATAGGAAGTAAATCGTACTAAATATTCAAAAAACATTGGGTGGTATTAAGTCTATTAAAATCTTGTGCTCCAGACTATTCATGAGAGACATTTGGAAAAAAAATCTTTTTTATAATTTATAAAATTATATCCATTGAAGGTATACATTTTTTTTGGAAAACCCACTGGTAATTTTATTGCCACAAAAAAAATCGCTTACAAGTTTAGGTAGTTAGAACCCACAAGAAAAATAAAAAACTACATTACGCACTCTTACGGTTCCACCAAACCCGAGTACAACATTGTGCAAAAACGTGCTCCAAAATACAAAAACACAAAAAAAAACTCTAAAAACTTACAATTATACCCAAAAAAAAAATGTAGCACCAATGAAGAAGCGTATTGTTTTGAGAATCTCATTATTCACCCGCATCCTAAGCATGACCTCGTCTTCTTTGATTCACTACACCATTTGCAGCTTTGTCAATCTCCCATCCCCATTGCCTTGGTTTTCATTCTCCAGCATTATGGTGAGATCTAACCTCTTCATTTGCCTTTTTGCTCTAGATTTTACTTTTATTTGGTCCCTTTCTTCGGCTGTGTTTGGTGAAGTTTCACTCGTTTGTTTTACTTTATTTTTTCATGGATTTTGTGGTCCTATGACTGTGTGTTGGCTTTTTTGGTTTGCAACTTTTTCCTTTATGTTTGTGTTGTTTTCTTTTGTGTGGTTTTCTGCTGGTTTCTACCGTGCCCCCCTTCTTGGTTTTTTAATGTTTTTTTCTCTCTTATTTTCATTTGTTTTAGGTTTCTCGGTGGTGTAATTTTGTTGTAGCTCTGTGCTTTGTGGTTATTGGTGCGGATTTTAGTTTTAGTTTCTTGGTTTCTCCATTGCTTTTAGTGGTTGTTGTTTACTTTGTTGTTGTTGTTGTTGTCAGGTTTGTGGTTTGTAGGTTTGTTTCTCTGCGTGTTTGTTGTTTTCCTTTTGCGTTTTTTTGTTTGGTGGAGTTTTGGGTTAGATCGTAGTTTATTGCTTTAGAGGTGAGATTCTTGGTTTTTGTCAGGTTGTTCTACTGTTTTT